TTATTCCTAGTAGAAAAACCTCTCTATATAACTTTATTTCCAATGATAAAATGTATTTTTAAATTACATATTCATATAGCCCTTGCTATGTGTAAAAAACTTTTAGGCACTTTTGCATATGGGTATTAAGGCATATAATCCTCACATAACTTTATAATATTATTACTCCATCTTACAGATAAAGAAACTGAGAAACAAAATGGTTAGTCACACGATCAGATAGGTGACAGAACTGGGATCTGAACCCTGAGAGGTTACATAGATGCTTTGGGACCTTTATGTATTTAAATATGTAGACATCAACTCACCCATTTATTTCTGTTTCTTCCTCTCATCTATATTATTTATATATCTTGGCTATCATGTTTTGAGCACCTAATGTTTTCTACCAAGGTTCTGAGACACTGGGGAGCAACCTTAGCTGTCTGCCTTGATGTTCCCTAGTTGTGGGATTTTGGGCATGTGCTTATGTCTCTTTCTATGTCTCTTTCTATGTCTCTCTCTCTCTCTCTCTCTCTCTCTCTCTCTCTCTCTCTCTCTCTCTCTCTCTCTCGGCAGTGCTGGGAATCAAATCCAGGGTTTTGTTTATGCTAGGACAGCACTCTACCATTGAGCTACACACCCAGCCCTATGGCAACTCTCTCTTGTAGTTGCCTCATCCTAAAATAGGAATAAGAATATATTTACCAAGTTGTTGTGAATGTGAGATGAGTTAATATGAAAAGAACTTTTTACAGTTTTCACATGCTAGTACTATATAAGCATTAGCTTTTCTTGTCACGTTTGCTCAATGCAAGACAGCTCACAATGAGGAAGGCTAGGGGCTGGGATATAGCTCAGTGGTTAAGTGCTTGCCTAGAATGTATAAGGCCCTAGGTTCAATCCCCCAGCATGGAGTTGGAGGCACTGAGAGGAAGGAGGGCTGGAAGAAAATAAAAATAGGAGGACTTTTATCTTAGTTGCTGGGATGAGGAGGAGGATATGAAGATGATGTTTAGTTTCTCTTCCAAAGAATGGTACTGGCTATCTGTTTTGTTTATATCTTTAGTTGTGCGTTTAGGGAACTGCCTAGAAGAAAGGTCCATTCCTCATCTTAGTTGTTTTTCTAATGTGCTTCCCTTCGGTAAGACCCTTAAAACTCCCTTAAGTGTTAGGTTTGAGGACTTCTTATTTGGCAGGCTATGGATAGAACAGCTAGAAAACAGAAGTTGACAAGATATGTGGGGATAGCACACTTCTCACATAAGTGTCACTCTGTGTGTGTGTGTGCATCCGTCCTTCAAAGAGAAGACTTAAGATACTCTGGTAGTATGGTTACCCCACTAGATCCTGGGGCACCTGGAGTTGGAGGCATGGAGAGAAAGGAAGGCTGGAAAGTGTTTGTGCCTGATGCTCAGACTTGGTCAGTGGTTGGTTCGGTTTCAGAATCACCGTCTTGTGTGTGTGTGTGTGTGTGTGTGAGAGAGAGAGAGAGAGAGAGAAGATCAATCTCCAGTTGATAATTATGCACATTACTAGGGACAAACTGTGGGAAATGCACAGGCTGTAATATGTAGTTCCATTATTGTGGAGGAAGAGGGTCGAAAGAGACCTGGCTAGGGAGTTCAACCTTAAGTGTGGGCATCTGGAAAGCTGACTTCCTTCTCCCCAGCTGTTTACCTTGAGGTGAGGCTCTGGAGCTCTGTTCTGAATCTTACTACAGTCATCCCTCTGTATCCATGGGGAATTGGTTCCAGGACCACTCACTTATAACAAAATTGTTAGATGCTCAAGTCCTCTATATGAAATGGCATGGCATTTGCATATAACTTAAGTATATACTTCCAGATAATTTAAATCAACTCTACATTGCTGTTAATACCTAATCCATTATAAATGTTAGGCAAATAATTGTTGTACTATATTGTTTAGGGATTAAAGACCAGAAAAAATCTGAACATATTCAGCACCAATGCATTTCCCTCCTGAATATTAGATCTGTGGTGGGTTGAATCCATGGATGTGGAACTTGTGATTATTGAGGGCCAACTGTATTTGGTGTTGGGCTGGTACAGTAGCAAAGAGAATAAAAAGACACAGGTGAGACAGCCTGCATCCTCAGTTACTCTTCCATTTTCACCATGGTCTTGGAGCTTTTCTAAGAAGTTAAGAGGAGAAAAAAAATACAAGCTTAGGAATTCTGCTGGCCTTTGTGCTTGTCTCTCTGCTTGGCCCAGGCCCTGCTTTCATTGTCTGACTTGGGTGATAGGTTCATGATGGCCCCATGGAAGACGTGGTTGTGGACAATGGAGAATCTCACAGTAGGGATATCCAGAAAGACCACATGAGAATCTTGGAAGAGCAAGAAACTCACTTGGAGAATTCCAGAAGGCCACAGGGTAGACAGGTGTTTGTTCCAAGTCAGGGAACAGTAGGGATATAAGAAAGGCTTCCATTTGGTGTATATGGATTTTGATATTATCCATTGAATGTCTAGAATTCACTATTGTTCATGAATAAATTCATTAAGACAGTAATGAATAAAGTCATTGACAATAGAATAAATCAGACATTTTCCTATGTTCATATATGAATACACAACCAGTGTAACTCCACATCATGTACAGCCATAGAAATGGGAAGTTATACAGTCTACTGTCATATATAACTAAAAAGAATAAAAAATTAAAAAAATAAATTCAATTATTCATTCACATAATCACAAAGCATCCAGCTACCAGAGCAGCCAGAAACTTCTCTGAATACTGATGGCCCAAACGGTTGCTGTTTTGAAACTAAACTCCCGAGTGGTTAGCAGGAGAGATTTGTACCAATAGTGGGTAGATCTCAGGGCTGTCCAAGAACTTGGCACTCCACTAGTTGGGGAGAACCCCTGTCTTCCTACAGTGAGATCCCAAGGCCAGTCCAGTCTGGGCACAGGGAGGGAAGCAGTGCCAGCAGTGGTGGTACCCTCAGGACACTTAAATCAATGTGTCCTGCTGGGTGGGAAGGCCATTTTTCTTAGGGGTCTGTCACCTGGGGGAAGAAACTGCAAAGCTTTCATCATGACCTTGCCAGATTTGCAGGCCTTTTCTCTGCTTCTAAAGGTGCTCAGAGCCCTCCTCACTTGCCCTTCACCTCCCATTCCTAAAATTATATATATTTTTTGGGTCCTGCAGTGTCCTCTAGTTTTCTCCACTTTTTTTCCAAGCCCTGACCAAAAGTCACAGAGTACCTTGAACGTTCTGTGACCAGGTCAGCAGCAGGTGTTCCCCCAGCAAGCTGATGTTCAAGCTAGGGTCTTAGAACATCCCTTCAGGGACATGTTTACATAATGTTATGGTTTTTGAGGCTGTCCCTCAAAAACCTACGTTTTGAAAGTGTAGTAGCCAGTCTATGGTGTTGCTGGAAAGTGGTGGAACTTTAGGATGTGAGGCCTAGTGGAAAGAAGTTAGGTGACTGGGTGTGTGCACCTGGGGGGCATTAGGACCCCAGTCCTTTCCTCTTTTTTGCCTCCTGGCTGTGATATTCTGCTATGCCATAGGTCTCAAAACAATGGGGCCAAGTGACTATGGCTGAAACTTCTGGAACCACAAGCCCCAAACAAATCCTCCTTTTAAGTTGTCTTTCTCAAGTATTTTCCCAGTGAAGGAAAGCTGACTAAAACACAGAGAAAAGCTGCAAAACCTATGGGAGGGAGACAGCATGATAATTGGGTAGAAGTTGTGGGGCATCAATGTGCAAAGTTATCAGAAGCTTATAGAGATACTTTAGGATCCCTCAAATTCCAAAATGTATTTATAGGTCCATGGGTAAAACACTGAACTAACCTCTAAGTAAAATACAATTAAAAAAATAGTCAAAGTCATGTCCAGTTGCCAAGGGTCTCATAATCCAGTTAGGTAGTAGACACTGCCTGAAGCTCAGGACAGCAGTTCCCTTAGCGCAGGAATGGTGGATTCTATCTGGCAGATGTTGTCTGGGGTGCCTTGGGGGACTCTTGAGAACAAGAAGTTAGGATGAGGGATGCTCCAGAAGTGGGAGGATAAGACTGACGATTAAGTGTAAGAAAGTCCTTTAGGCCAGGAGGCCACTACAGTAGCTATCTACTCTCCTTCTAGTCAGAGCTCTTCTGTCCACCATCCCCCTGCCCTTAAGGTCCTGTGGCTTCCATGCAGGTGTCATGCTTAGGTGAGAAGGCCATGTGAGCTGAGGGGCCTGCACTGACCACCCAAGTGGGGAAAGCCAGCATAAAAAGGCAGTGAGGTACCAAAGCAAGGGTTGCTGATAGATATCCAGGATAGTTGTAGATGTGTTCAGGCAGTTTTTAAAATAAGTAGCCAATAAGGCCATTAGGAAGACTGAAGTGACCTTATCCTTATAGTGGTACACAGCCTGAGGTCTGCTGCTGTCCTCTGGAGGCTATGATGGGACTGTACAGCCCATGGCCTCTCTGCCCTTTTTCCTCATTGGAAGAGAAGGTCCTATAAGCCCTCAGCACTAGAAGCATTTAGGGTCCTGGACATGGAAAAGTACAGATCTAGATAGGAACTTCCATGTCCTTATTCCCAGGGCTCTCACTTATGTAAACCAATCCTAGGGGGACAGGCCCACCTCAGTCTAAAAGCTCCCTGACCTTCTATAAACCCCCTGTACTGAAAGAAACCATGTAAGACGCCAGCCTAAGTCCTATCCTTACCCATAAGGATCTAACTTTGAGGGGGTAGGGTTTTTGGGTAGATTAAATCAGCTGTAGATCTGGGGATCCAGAGGAGTCTGAAGTCTTGGGAGAGAGGCACAGAAAGGTGAAACAGCTGTATCAATGTGAAATAAGACTGGACAGCCAGCAGCTTCCTCCAACCTGCTTCCGCCACCCCTTCTACTCAGGGAAGAAGGGTTGGGTGTACCTAGGCACTCATGCCCAGAATCGCCTTTCAGCTAGACTCCACTCCAACCATCCAGCCAGAGAACTCTGTTTTTATCAGTGAAAATAAAACATGTTTATTACTGTAAAACTTTATTAATACAGGTCCATAATCCCTTACCTGAAACCTTTGGGTCAGATGTATTTACAATTCCTTGCATATTAGAAAGGATTCTATCTGGCAGATGTTGAATGTACTAGCATTTCTGTAGAGAATTGCAAAAAGGCACACTAGAAGAAATTAAGGGTATAAATGATCTCACTTCAGTTCGGGTCAGGTTTGATGCCCAAATTAGGAAAAAACCCTTGGCTTTTGGATGTTTTTGCATTTTATAATTGCAGGTAAAGGATTGGAGATCTGTACTTAACTGCACATTTACAGAACACCATAGTTGTCGTTGAGACTTGGTGCAGTGGTGAATCACACAGATGGCAGTCAGACTGCCTGGTCTCATTACAGCTCTGCCTATGGTTTACCCTCTCTGGACCTCAGGTTTTTCACCCACAGCACAGGATTATTCTTCCACATATGCATGTTAGGAGGATTAAACAGCTTAATGAAAGTAAAGTGCTTAGAACCTTGCTTGATAATACACATAGAAAACCTTGGTGTCACTGAGACAGACATTTAAGTGCCATCCTTCAATAAGATCTAAATTACTAGCTCACTGTTGAGGCCCTGCAGGCCACAGCACAGGCTGGAAAATTTTTTGTAGTATCAAAGTCTTTCACATTCTCAGGCTTTGGTTTCCCAGAGAAGTAGAACACAGAAGTTTCAGAAGTTCCTGTAAGAAGGCTCTGTCATGGGTCCTGTGGATCTGGTAGGCTCCTAGCTAGAGGACGAACATGATGAAGAGGCAGAGGAGGCTCCTCCATGAGTCCATTATCCACTGAAATCCAACAACCCCACAACAGTGGAACACTTACTTGCCCGGGTCCCTGGCTTCCTCTCCATTCCAACCCACCAGCCCCTTGCATATCACATAGCCTATGAGACGGTAACTGTTTTTGTTTTCTTGGAACTTGAGATTGAACCCAGGGCCTTGTGCACACGAGGCAAGTGCTCTACCACTGAGCTATATCCTCAGCCCTTCTTAAAAATTATTTTGAGACAGGATCTCACTAAGGTGTACAGTCTGACCTTGAAATTATGATCTTCCTATCTCAGCCTCCTGAGTAGTTGGCATTACCAGTAGCTGGAATGACAGGTGTGTTCTACAATTAAACTACATCCTGAGCCCTGAAATGATTGGATTTTTTTAGAAGGACTTCAGGAATGGAAAAACCATATCAGTTGCACATATCATGTATAAGGAGGCTGGTAGAAATAAGAAGATAGGATGGACTCTTTGTGGTCAGATCACAGCTATCAGCCAGTTAGTTTAGGGTTTCTCTAGGAGACCCAAAATGCCCCTACAAAATACTTCCTTGATTTTGTAATGGGGAATTTTAATCAGCAGAAAGTCTGAGCAGCTTCTGTCCTTCCTGGGCTTTGGGAGTTAAGATTATCTTCTCCACCTGCAGGGAGGAAGGAGGGAAATGACAGATTGTTTTCTTCCTACCAATGCTTGGAATTGCTGGCTCCTGCCAGGGATGGTCTAAGATAGTGGGAGGGATCAGGGGCTGAGGCCAGGGATAGAGACAGGAAGTGCCTGTCCCAATGCCTCTACCATCTTTGATTCTAAGGCATCTTAGCCATATATTGGGGCTTCCTTTCCACATATAACCCACCCAGCCTACAAATAAATTGGAGCTTTCCTGTAAAACTTCTCTCTGGTGTGGGGAAAAAAGAACACAAAACAGATGAGGTGGGTGGTGGGCAGGGGTGGGAGAAGGGAAGCAAAGTAGTCCTGAATTCCCACCTTTGCCCTCTGCCTCTCTTTCTGGGCCCTTTCCAAGATCAGACTAAATGGTCTCATTTTTCCTTATAGGGCTGCATCAGCCAGGAAGACTCTCATACCTTTGTTTCTTCCTCACTTACCTTGAAGACACTTCTTTTTCAGTATCACAATTACAGCTACTAGCCCAACAAAGACCAGGACCGTGATCCCACCAGGTAGTATGCCATTGCCATTGACATTGCCAATAGAGGATGAGTCTAAGGAAGGCAGAGAAAAGAGTCCAAGACCATGGGGTTGTCTACAGGTGTCCTGGCACCCCCCTCTTCCCCATCTTGACTCCTCCTCAAGGTTAGCTCCTCACCCCATGCCACAGTGAGTGTGTGCTTCAGGCCAGGGTGCTGCACGTGGCAGGTATACCAGGCCTCCTTCCCAGCTGGCACCCGAACTGATGTCCATGTCTGATAAGTGCCATCCCCACTGGGGCGTGTCTCCACATGCTCAGTCTCCAGGACCAGCTCCTTCCTACCCAGCCACCAGCTCAGTGAGATGTCTGGTGGGTAGAAGCCCAAGGCCCAGCATCTCAGCATGGTCCCATCCTGGGTGGTGTGCTTTGTCACCTGCACCATGGGAGGCTCTGCAGGAAAAGGAGAGAACAATGCTGGTGAGCACCTACTTGGCTCATTCATTCCTCATGCTTTATCTCCATGGAGATCTTCCAAGTGTGGAGGACAGGAAGAAGGTAGGGACAGGATCTCTCTAGGGGAGGCACTCATGTTGGAACTTTGTAGGCATAGCTGACCCATTATTAATCATCCTAAAGGGGCAGTGCCCTGAAAATTTCCAAAGGGGATGTGATTTCCTATTCCCAACCTCTGAGTAGGGTCCTATGTGGCCATACCCACCACTTTTCCACTCACAGATCCTAGGATTTTTTTTCCCCAGAGACTTTATATACCTACTCTTTGACTTCTAGCACATAGTAGGTACCTAACAAGTGGTTGTTAAAGGAAGGCAAGGATGATAATACTTTCCTCACCTTAAAACTAGGATGGGGAGGAGTTTGAAGCCCCGCATGACTTCTTTCCAGCTTGGTGACCTGAGGGAGGCCCTTTAAGTCTTCATTTTCTCAAAGCTTAATGGGGGATTAATCATTCTTTTTTTTTTCAGGGTTGTTCAAAATAAGATGATCTTGGTAAAGGATGTAGACCATGTCTTGTGCTAAGTGAGAATTTATCAATCATTGTGTAACATACCATAATATGGAGTTTTGGAAAGTGGGCATCATTATTACTATGCTATTCTGAAATATAGCATGTCCTGGCTCATAACTCCCTTCCCAAGACATCTCCACTGGGGCGTTTCTCCATGTGCTCAGCCTCCAGGGCCAGCTCTTCTAGCCACGATTGTAATGAGATGTCTCATGGGTAGAAGCCCAAGGTCCAATATCCTAGCATGGTCCCATCCTGGATTGTGTGCTAGAATTTCTTTTCCCCATGGCTAGTTATAGAAGCTCTAATATTTCTCCATCTGTATTGAAGCTGACCATAAAGAAATTCTCTGACCTATCTTTGTCCAATAGATAAGACCATCCTCATTCCAGAAGGGGCCTTCCCCATATCCTGGAGGGAAGAATGCTGTACAGAGAGGCCAGAAAAATGCTGCAGCAGGCAGGCCATAGGGGGTTTCCCCACCCAGTCTATTATCATTAGTGCCTATGTAATGGAGTCTCCAAACAAACCTAAAGGACAGGGTTTGGAGGGATTCCACATTGCTGAACACATAGAGATTCCTGGAGAGTGGCAGGCCCAGAGACAGCATGGAAGCTCCACACCTTTTCTCTCTTTCCACATTCTAAACATATCTTTATCTGTACCCTTTGTAACATCCTTTATAATAAACCCATAAACATAAATGTTTCCCTGAGTTCTGTGAACCACCAAAGCAAATTAACGAAACCCAAGGAGTGGGTTGTGAGAAACTCAATTTATAGCTGGTTGGTCAGCCAGAAGCACAGTAAAACAACATAGGATTTGTGACTGGCATCTAAAATAGGGGTGGGGAAAGTAGACCTGGGGACTGAGCCCTCAACCTGTGATCTGGAACTATTTCAAAGTAGACAGTATCAGAACTGAATTGGATTAGGGTATGCCTACAGACAGGGTGTTCATTGCTCAAAACAATGCTGTGGGTCAGCAGAGAGCCCAGAATTCCTTACTCTATCACACCTGGAGCAAGGGATCAAGGTTCAGTTTTGTGTGAGGAAACTGTTGGCTAATTGGCCCTCCCTTTGGAGGGAGGGATAAGCTGTCGTCCTCTTGGTGAGCTCTTCCAAGAGGACACAGCTTATCCCTTCTTCTCTCTCAGGCTTCTCTGTCAAATGGGACAGCTCTTGTAAATGGGAGTATATGGCTCACTCTTTGCATGCTGCTGCTGACTGGGCCTTACCTATCCGCGTGAGGCTCTGGCTTCCCAGTTCCAGATACCTGTGCAGGGAGATGAGGCAGAGGTTTTCCAGGTAGGCCTTGTCATACTCTGCATAGCAGCGCTCCATCTCCCACCAGCGCTTGGTCCGCACAGCCACTGGCTCTGCTGACACCCAGCTCAGTGTCTCTAGGTCCAGAGACAGGTGGTCCTGTCCATCGAAGCCAAATTGCCAGAAGCTGCTGGACCTGCCATCTTCCCGGATCTCACAGCCAAACATGCGCTGAGCACTGTGTGTACCTGTATATACAGGCCAAAAGGCCCTGGTTATTGAAGTCCACAAGGCCAGAGTAGAGAGCCAGGGAGAAGCCTGCCACCTATGGGCTCTCCAAATGGTGGGGTGGGCATTGGCATTTAAAAAAAAAAAAAAAAAGCTACCCAGAGAATTCCCATGAGCAGCTAGGGTTATCCACATACCGCCACTCTGATTGTGGTAGCCCATCACTGTCCACATCTCCACCTGCTGCACCTTCTCCCAGGCCCTCTGTTTCTGGGTTTCTGTCTCCCAGTACTGGGGATCCACTAGTGCCATCCACGGGGCCTGAGGCTCAGCCTTCCCTCTGCGACTGTCATACCGGATGAAGGGCTGGTCGTCCACATAGCCCACAGCCAGAAACTTGGGGAGGCCTGGGCCTGGCTCTGACAGGGTTAGGTAGTGGTAGTGAAGTGAATGGGTCCCTGTAGAAACACAAAAATGGTCTCAAGTTCACACACACAGCTGGGACCTGTATGAGGTTTGTAACAGGATGGAGTGAAGGGTAGAAACCTACCCAAAAAGTATTCTGTCAGCAAGATTAAAAACTGGGAATTTTAAGGGCAGCTTAGTAGTAGAGTGCTTGTTTAGCCAGCATGAGGCCTGCAGTTAAATTCTCAGCAAAGCACATACATACATACTCACACCCCAAAAATGCAAAACTGGAAATTTCAGTTAAAAAAAGAAAGGATGGGGGAATGGAATGGGGAGTTATATTTAGTGGGTATAGAGTTTCAGATTAAGAAGATGAAAATATTCTAGAAATGGATGGTGACGATGGTTATCCAATAATGTGAATGTATTTAATGCCACGTTAACTATATACCTAAAATTTTTGTTATGTATTTTATCACAATAAAAGGCATCCAAATAGCTTAAGCAGTCGATCAATTAAACACTTAAACTAAAGTTCATTCATTAAAGCTCATGGACTTTACTCCTAGAAAGTTCTCAGCATCTCATTCATGGTCTAGTTATCAGATCTTACAGTCATCTCTGTAAGTAATGATCATCTCACAATTTAAAAGAACATGGTTTTTAAAATCTTGGTTGTTTGGAACCTTAATTTATTTAAACATTCTCCAGAGAAATTTGATCAAGTCCATCCATCATTCTTTTCTTGAACAATCTTGCCAAGTTGGTGGTTTATTATTTTTTAAAACAGTGCTGGGGATTAAACCCAGGACATCTCTCATACTAGGCAGGGGCTCCACCAGTGAGCTACATCCCCAGCTCAAGTTGGTGGCATCTTGATCTCCACTCCCTGCTTTCTTCTTCTCCCACAGCAGACATTGCTAGTCCATCTGTTCTGAAATTCAACTGCTGCCTCAAGGTTACTCTGTACCATGTCTCCAGAAGCCTCAATTCAACCATTCAGTGTTTCTAGAGATGAAATCTATTTAGCAGCCAGTCTTGACTCCAGTTATTAAAATAATACTGTATCTTTTTAAAAAGTCACTGCACTGGGCTGAAGGTATAACTCAAGGGTAGAGCATATGCATAGCAGGCATGAGGGTTCACCCAAAAAAGTAAAAAAAGAAAATTCACATTTTTTCTCAGAAATATCCATGGCTCATTCCCTTACCTAATTAAGCAGGATTTTTACTTGCATGTCACCTTCTCAGTGAGGGCTTTCTTGCCTACTCCATTGAATATTGAATACTTATCCTCCCATCTCTGCATTATTTTTTCTTCAGAGAACTACAATCCTATCTACAAAATGCACTTTATTTATCTTGTTAATAGCCAGGCTCTCCCCAGCAATCTCAGCTACTCAAGGACATTATAATCTCTTACTTTTTGTCAAGAACAGCACTGGGCACACAGTCAGTGCCCATGTTTAAACAGTCACATGTGGAAGAAGTCAGACATATCTCCACTGTAGAGGTAAGCTGTTTACTACCTCTTTGTGATGTTCTGGCCATACCAAACTCCATCCAAGCCCTTTGAACATACTATTCCTTCTATCTCAAGAACTTTCCTCCCTCTCTTGCCTAAGTCAATTTCTTTTCATCCTTCTCTTTACAGCTCAAGTGTCCTTTTCCTTCAGGAAGCCCTCCCTACTGATTCCAGTCTGACAACCTTCAGACAGGCCTTAACAGTGTCCTGTGCTCTCTGCAAAGATTGTGGCCTCTATGAGAGTGGGTGTTTGAGTAAACACTAGTCCTTACCTGAGAAGGCTCCTCCTCTGGGCAGCAAAATAAACATGAACAAATGTGATAATGAAGGAAATGAACCGGGGAGCTGCCTATTTCCCTGGTCTCCAATCTTTAGGTGAGGAACAAAGCAGAGTGACTTTGGTTGTAAAGTAAAACAGTGTACTCAGTGTACTCGTAAAACATCTGAAGAGCTTCAGCAATGAAGAGGTACTAAGCAACTCAGTGAGACCCTGTCTCTAAATAATACACAAAATAGAGCTGGGGATGTGACTCAGTGGTCAAGTGGCCCTGAGTTTATTCCCCACTATCCCCCCTCTCAAAAAAAAAAAAAAAGAAAGAAAAGAAACATCTAAAGAAATCCATCTGTTCAGTAAGCATGCAACCTATCCCATATACTCTTGCTTGAGGTGTGGGGTGGCACCCCATGGAGGTGTGTAGGCCCTCTAGCCTACAGCCACCAAGGAGACCTTGAATAATCTAATGTCCAAAACCTCTCTGTTGAGTCCTCCAAGTTCCTTCTTTGGGATTGGTAATCAGTATGTTTGGGGCATTTGTACCCCTGGGGTAAACAGTGGTTAATACATCTACTGTTTCCCCTTAAGTCATGCTTGGCTCATAGTGAGCACTTATTTTCTGCATTTGTTGAAGTGGGGGGGGGGGAAGAAGGCATAAATGGAAGTGACAAAAATCACAAGTGCTAATTTTTGAATGATAGCTCGTGCCCTTGATAGAATGATAGAACCCCCACTGCTCTGCTTTTTATTCACTATCACAATCTTCACAATGAATTTAAGAGGATGGTGTGATTGGCTTCATCTTACAGATGAGGTAACTGAGGCTGAGTTGTTATGATTCAGTTTCTCATGACTACAGCCACTTTGATTCATAATCCATGATTGCTTTTCAGTAACTCTATTGGTTTTCCTGAAGGAAGATAGATAGAACCATTAAGTGTCCTATGTAGGGGTTTACAACCAGACTCTGGCTCCAGTGTTAGGGGACAAACAGATGAGGATGGTGGGAAAGTGAGATTAAGATAATAATTCTATAAAATGGTTGGGCTGGGGATGTGGCTCAAGCGGTAGCGCGCTCGCCTGGCATGCGTGCGGCCCGGGTTCGATCCTCAGCACCACATACCAACAAAGATGTTGTGTCCGCCGAGAACTAAAAAATAAATATTAAAAATTCTCTCTTAAAAAAAAATAAAAATAAAATAATTCTATAAAATGGAACCACTGTGCTGACCTTCACATACTTTCTTCACCCCACATGCTTTCTTTGCCAAAAAAGCAATTTATCTGCTGCCCTGCCAGCCTACATGGATAGGGTATGTCACAAAACTTCCTGTTATCTACAAGAAAATGCAGGCAGGAAATAACATTGATAAGAGGAACTCAAAAAGGTACTTTGAAGGGAGAAAGATTTGTGACCCTTTTCACAGACCAGATTCTGGAAGATAAGGATAATTCCTCCTAATCACAAAACCTGTAAAAAATGATTAAGAAAAAATCTAATTAGAACTGCTCAGCATGGACCAAGAGAACCTAGCATTGTCATGGTAATAAGTACTTGAAAGTCTGTTGTCACCCTGCTTTGTGAATCAAAAGTCAAGAGGCGGACTTGCGCAGGACTCTGGAAACTTCCCTGGGACCCCCCAAATAAAATTGGAATGCAGGAGAGACAAGTTGTCTCTCTCCTCTCTGAGAGGACCCATTTTCTCCCTTGAGAGTGTCCTCTTTCCCTTTCCTATCCCTTCAATAAACTCATTCTTGTTACTCTGAACAACATGTCTGAAAACTTTTCTGACTTGATTGCAAGAATCTGGGTTTGGGAGGGGGGTCTTCACACTGCCTCAGTTTCCCAGAACGCCCCAGCTGTGTAAAACAGGGGTGCATATAACTCTTTGATATTATCTTAAGACAAATCAGGTATGTTCCAGCCAAGATGAAGTTACCTTTGTTTTAACCCTTCTTGTCTCTCTTTTCTAACCCAAATTGCTAGAATTCAAGTGGTCTTGCTGCCACTGCTTACAAAAAGACAGTACTAGAAAGAGGTGGGGTGGTGCCTGGATTCTCTCCCTAGATCTTGCTGCCTTTTTGTAAGCAGAGAAAAGAAGAACTACCTCCTCAGAGCTGGAGAAACTTTATGGGGGTCAGAGAGGGGTCATGGTGGAGGGGTAGTTGAATAAATGGCTGACATCAGCTTGGGTCAGCCTGAATGTGAAATTATAACAGAGCAGTTCATTTTTTTTAACAGAATTATTTTCTCAAATTCCCTCAGGAATATGATTTAAAAGGCTATTTCTTCCTCCTTCCCTCCCAACCTCCCCCTTCCCCTGATCTCTTCCAGATCTTTTTTTAAAATATATTTTTAGTTGTTATAGACCTTTATTTTTTTCATATGTGGTGCTGAGAATCAAACCCAGTACCTCACACATGCCAAGTAAGTGCGCTACCGCTGAGCCACAGCCGCAGCCCTCTTTTCTCAAATCTTTAATAACCTTTCTTTTTTACATATTATTCTAAATTCTATATAGAGCCCTTAGGCTGGGGATATAGCTCAGTTGGTAGAGTGCTTGCCTTTCATGCACAAGGCCCTGGGTTCAATCCCCAGCAACACACACACACACACACACACACACACACACAAATAGAGCCCTCTGTAATACCTTCTCCTCTTTGGAAAAGGAAATCCAGATGCTGGTTCCAAGAGGTTCCCTTTGGTGTGATGAAGAGGGAACAGAGGCTAAAAGACATGACACTCTTAGAAGTAGGCAACCTCTACCCAGCACAGGGATTTCTTGCCTTTTGTCCCATTGTATCTCCTTTTCTTCCCTCATAAATGCTGTTCCCATTTATTGATTCTTGATTTTATTTCTTACACTTTAGGAGTCTTGTTAAGGAAGTCAGGGCCTAATCTGACACAATGAAGATTTGGGCCTACTTTTTCTTCTATTAGGCATAGGGTCTCTAGTCTATTTTTTTTTTTTTTTTAAAGGGAGAGAGAGAGAGAGAGAGAGAGAGAGAGAGAGAGAGAGAGAGAGAGAGATATTTTTTTTTTTTTAAATATTTATTCTTTAGTTTTCGGCAGAAACAACATCTTTGTTTGTATGTGGTGCTGAGGATCGAACCTGGGCCGCAGGTATGCCAAGCAAGTGCGCTACCGCTTGAGCCACATCCCCAGCCCCAGGGTCTCTAGTCTAATTCCTAGGTCCTTGATCCACTTTGAGTTGAGTTTTGTGCAAGGTGAGAGATGGGGTTTAATTT